CAATAATCACTGTGCCGTATATTAGCTCTCCAGAACTTACTCATCGTGTAACCGCAAGTTTGTTCCCTTTGACCGACATCTTCCCATCCCCCCACCCCTTAGCCCCTGACAACTATCATTCTAGTCTGCGTTTCTAGGAGCTCAGCTTCTTCGGATTCAAATATAAGTGACACCACTTATTTATCTCTCTTCATTTAACTTTTTTCACTTAGCATAATGCCCTCAGGGCCCATCCGTGTTGTTGCAAAAGGCAGGCTGTCCTTCTTTCCCATGGTGGACTAAACTTCCATTGTGTGTGTATGTGTGTGTGTCACGTCTTCTTTATCCATTCATCTCTTGACGGGCACTTAGGTTCTTTCCATATCTTGGCTGCAAGAAACGCGAGAGTGCAGTTACCTCTTCCAGGTCCTGATTTCATTTCCGCTGGATAAATACCCAGAATCGGAACCGCTGGATCATATGGCATTTCTATTTTTAATTTTTGCGGGGGACCTCCGTACTGTTTTCCGTGGTGGTGGCACCCACTGACATTCCCACCAATGGTGCACGAGCTTTCAACCTCTCCACATCCTTGTCAACGCTTAGTAGCCATCCTAATGGCGTAAGGTGCTATCTCATCATGGTTTACCATGCTGGGGAGAGCTGGGGGAATCCATGGTGAACTTAGAAGATATTAGAGATCACATCCTTTGACCACATTTCTAGTAGAACATCGAGTATCCGGACCATTCTACAATACTGCCAGATACCCCAACTGTGGTGATCCGGATTGAGTTCGCACAAAATGTCCGCTTGTCAAGTGGGACTGTAAGAATCCTAGATCTCACTTAACACCGCATTTTGTTCACGACTCAAAGGCTACAGGCAAGAAAAAGGCACAAACAGAACATTCTTTTCCCGCTGGGTCCTCAAACCACCAGCTGCCAAACGATGTCCCTCCTCCCGCATTAAGACACATTTTGGTGTCTGAGCAGCTGATGAGTTTTAAGCCGTGTGGACGACTGCTCTCAAAGAAGGCTGCATCTGTTTGGAGCCTCGTGGCTTTTTTAATTCATTAACTATGCAGGTAGGAAATGTTTACCTGAATACCCCATTCTCTAGGAAGCCACACCCCTTAATCCAAAAAGTACACGTTTATTTACAATACCCAATCCAAACAGAGCCGGGGATTCCCGTTGAAAACATTTTTTACATAGTCCTTCCCCATATCTTTCTCCTCCTAAATATCACTGCCGGGATTATAGGGAGGTCTGGCCGAGGCGTCTCAGGGAAGGAGTGAATTACAGGCCTGTGCTAACCCTTTTTCTCCCATTTCATCCCCAGGACTCAGATATGACCTTGCCCGCTGACCTCCCTCCTAGTCACTTCCATGCACGCCCAGGAACCTGCCCACGGGCTCTGGCTCCAGGACTCCATAGCTTATCCTTTCCCGAAGCCTTCATCCCATAGAGGTAAGATCACCCTGTCCTTAACACAGCTAGGCTTGTGCTTGCTACTCGGCATTTCAAAACGAAACCATATTTTGTTTAGATATATACATAAACGTGTGAAATCTGTAAAAAAACAAAACAAAAACAAAAACCAGCAAGGGACTGATGAACCCAAAGTAAGGTAAATGTTTACTTCAAACGTGGGAGGGAGGGGTATGATTAGGGAAGGATGCACAGGAGGCATTTTTTTTTTAAGTTTATTTATTTATATTGAGTGAGGGAGAGAGTGTGTATGGGAGGGGGCAGAGAGAGAGAGAGAATCCCAAGCAGGCTCCGCACCATCAGGGCCGTCGGCATGGAGCCTGACGCAGGGCTCGAACTCACAAACTGCGGGATCATGACCTGAGCTAAAATCAAGAGTCAGACCCTCAGCCGACTGAGACCCCCAGGTGCCCCTTTACAGAAGCCTTCTAAAAGAAGAAGATCTAATTCTTCTCCAGGATATTGTGGACCCGGAGCTTTACTGGTTTTCCAACTGTACAATTTTATGCTCTTCTCGATGCATGATACGTTTTACGATAAAAACGATTGAATTAATTATAATTTCCTGGCATCATTTCAGTAGTGAGAGGCGTGTCAGTGAATTCGTTTGGAAGCAAGCCCGTCCCTTTGACATGCGTGTTCTGTGAGATGTTCCCCAAAGTCACCATAGGATGGAGGGGGTAGTGAAGGAAAAAAACCCTAACCCAGGAAAAGGCAAGGCCCCTGACAGTCTGCCCTACCTGCCACCATAGCTGTGCTTCAGAGGACAAGCCACTTACTCTCTCTGGTCATCAGTTGCTCATCTGCAAAATGGGATACTAATAGCAGGATAGTAGGGAATATGGGTCAGCTGCTGCCTTCATGGAACTTAGCAATCGTTGGGACAGAGAGACAAGTACATGTAGGTTCTACGCGTACTAGAATGGGACAAGCAAGAGGTACAGTGGGAGCAGAGAGAAGGGATGTCTACACTTTGAAATTAAGGCGGTGCCACATATGAAATATGTGCTATAGGATTTTTAAGGGAAGTTCTATACTTTAGGGTTTAAATAGGACGCTGCAGAAATTGTAACTTGCAAAATACGGCTAAAGGATCACTCTTGCTTCCTACCCCCACGCGGCCTGCATACCCACCTCGATGACATTACTTTTCACTCTTCAGTGCATCGATCCGTGTGTTTGTCTCTCCCACTGGATCATGGCCTCCCCGAGGGCAGGGGTTTGTGTTACTTATCTTTGTATCAGAGATGCTTGGCATAGACATTGCTGTTTCCCAAGGACTGCGAATCAAGTGTCGCCCTTTTATCATGGCCTCTCCCTACCTCCGGTCCCTCTCTGTCTCTCTAGTCTCTTCTCACACCGCCGTCCCCTGCTCAGTACACTCCAGACACTCTGGCCCTCCTTCTGTCCCTTGATCATGCCGAGCTCATTTTCACCCAGGGCCTTTGCACTTGCTGGGGACTCCTCCTGGAGTGCTCTTGCCTCGTCTCGTTCAGCTCAGCTTACATGTTGTCTCCCAGAACCTTTTTTCCTGTCTTCCCACCTGTCCCCTTGGCCCTATTATCTCAATTTATTTTCTCCAAAGTATTTGTACTACCTGTAATTAGATGATGTATTTACGTTTTATTTGTGGTCTCTCTCCTCCATCAGAGGAGTGGAAGGACCTCCAGCGTCTGTCCTGTCGTTTCTGCCGTATCTCCGTTAGCTAAGCTATTGTCTAGCATACGGTAGGTACTCAATAAATTTTTTGAATAAGCAAACTCGTGGACAGGTATTCTATAACTATTTCTGTAACTGAGATGAAGTAATGTCTTCCCGAAGAATTTTGCAATGAAGAAAATGGACTCAAGATTAGTATGCTAATATAGTGCCTGACACATAGGAAGCACTCAATAAATATTTATCCACTGAATGAATATACAGAATACATAAATAGCTCTTGCAAACCAATTTAAAAAACCCAAAGCCAATATATAAATTAGCAAAGGAAGACCTTTTAGAACTAATGGGTTTAGCAAGGTTGCAGGATTCAAGGTCAATATACAAAAATCAATTGTATTTTGGGGCACCTGGGTGGCTCAGAAGGTTAAGTGTCTGACTCTTGATCTCAGCTCAGGTGTTGATCTCAGGGTCATGAGTTGAAGCCCTGCATTGGGCCCCATGCCGGGCATGAAGCCTACTTAAAAAGAGAAAACCAAAACATAGAGCCGAATTGACTGAAAGACACGTATCCTGTTCATTGTTAAATGTCTGTCCTCCCTAAATTGATCTATCCGTTCAACATAATCCTTATCAAAATCTCAGCAGGATATTCTTATAGGTGTCAACAAGCTGATTCTAAAAATGACGTGAGAAGGCAAAGGAATTAGGATAGTCAGTACATTTCTGAAAAAGAGGAACGGACGGGAGGAGGCAGGCCACCTGATTTCAAGAGTTGCTATAAAAAGCCAGTAATTGAGACAGTGTGGAATTGGCAAAAGGATGGACCTATAGATGAACGAAACAGAACACAGAGCCCAGAACCTGACGCGTACGTTATTGATCAACTGATATTTTTTACAGAGATGCAAAGGCAACAGAGAAAGATAGCCTTTTCAACAAAAATAGTACTTGAATAGGACATCCATGTGCAAAAAGAATGAGCCTTGACCCGTGTCGTGCACGGTATGCAAAAATTAATTAAAAATACATCAGAGAGGAGTGCCCGACTGGCTCATTCAGGAGAACGTGTGACGTTTGATCTCGGGGTTGTGAGTTCGAGTCCCATGTTGGGGGTAGGGATTATGTAAATAAAAAAAGGTTTTTTAACCTAAAAAAATAAAACATAAAAATACATCATAGACCTAAAATGCAAACCTGAAAATACAAAACTTTTGGAAGATAACATGCAAAAAAAGAATTCTTGTGACTTGGGGTTCTGGGAAGATTTCTTAGCTATGTTACCAGAAATATGATCCACAAAAGAACAAGCTGATGAATTTGAACATCATCAAAGTTAAGAACTTCTGCTCTGCAAAAGACACCTCAGGGAATGAAAAGACAAGCTAAAGACTGGGAGAAAACATTTGCAAATCACGTATCCACCACAGGACTTAGATCCGTGATCTGTAAAGAGTTCACAAAAGTCAAGAATAAGAGAACAAAACCCCATTTTTAGAATAGCCAAAAGATTTGGATAGACACTTGATCCAAGAGGATATATGTGTGGTGACAGGTGGTAACCACATGTAACATGATGAGCCTTTTGTAATGGATAGAATTGTCCCATCACTATGTGTGCACCTAAAACGAATGTAACATTGTATGTCAACTCTCCTTCAATTAAAAATGTTTTTTTTTATTGGAAAAGAAATAGTTGCTATTAAAAAAAAGAGGACATATGGATGGAAAGTAGTCACATGAAGAGATGCCTCTCACCATTAGGTGTTATGAAAATGTAAATTGAAACTACAATGAAATGCAGTTTTACATACGCCATTTTGGAAATATACGTCTGATAGCTCCCAACGGTGTAGAAGTTGGGGAGAAACCAAAAGTCTTGGGCCCTGTTAGTAGGTGTGTCAATTAGAATGATCTCTTTAGCTTGAAGTTTGGCACCATTAGGTGGAGGATTCGTATACCCCAGGACCCATCAATTCCACTCCTAGACAGATCGAGAAAAACACGTGAAGTTGTGCACAAGAAAGGTGCACAGGAACGTTCGGGACAGCATTGTGTAGTAACGGGGGAAAACGTAGAAGATATGAAGCAGGAGAGTGTATAAATTGTGGTTTGCCCGTACAACAGTGTATCATTTTGCGGGAGTTACCAAACCATAGCTCTTGGGTCCAATCCAGCCCGATGCCTGTATGTGTAAATAAACCTTTATTGAAACTCAGCCACCCCATTCCTTGACGTGTTGTCTCTGGCTGCTTTCATATTACAGTGGCATTGGGAAGTGCTTGCAACAGAGACTGTATGGCCCACAAAGCCTACAGTATTGACTGTTTGGTTTTTATAAGGAGTTTGTGGGTGCTTGCTATACAGCGATGCAAAGAGATGAATCGGAGATACATATACCGTATCAGTCAGGGTTCACCCAGAGAAACAGAACCAGTGGGAACCAGAGGGAGACATACGGTAAGAGGTCTATTGCCAGAAATTGGCTCATACAACCGTGGACCTGGCCAGACAAGTCTGAAATCCACAGCACACGTCATCGGGAAAGACAGACTGGAACAGCCGCGTGCGAGCTCAAGCTGCTGTCCACAGATGGAATTTCTTCCTCTTCAGAGAAGCCTCGGCTCTCCTCTTAATGTCCTTCAACCGATGGATCGCATCGGGTCCACCCAAATTATCTAGGAAAATCTCCTTGACTCGAAGACAGCTGATTGTGGACTTTAAAGCACATCTATAAGATACCTGCCTAGTAACACGTAGGTGAGTGTTTCATGGAGTAAGTGGGGAGTGTAGCCAAGTTGACACATAAAAGCAACCATCGTGCGTGTCAACAAAGAAAATCTTGTAAATAGAATGCTGAGCACCAGCAACACAAAGTTGCCCCATGATATGTGAGGTATGGGAAACCTTTACATAAAAGCTTTAAACAAGCAAACAAGAGAACAAAGGTGATGGATACATGGCTCTATCAAACCATGTGAAGCAATGATAAACAGCTACTTTTGATCCCGACTGCCACCAGTGGGAAAGGAAAGGGATGGAAGTAAGGGTGGGTGTATGGAACCTGAGATTTTTATATATTCATTTATTTTTAAAGTTTACTTATTTTTGAGAGAGAGAGAGAGAGCATGAGCAGGGGAGGGGCAGAGAGAGGGGGAGTCACTGAATCTGAAGCAGGCTCCAGGCTCCGAGCTGTCAGCACAGAGCCTGAGGCGGGGCTCAAACTCACGAACCATGAGATCATGACCTGAGCCACAGTAGGATGCTTAACCGACTGAACCACCCAGGCGCCCCTATCCGTGATTTTTTTTTTAAAGGTA